TGGAAGAGGTCTTACTTTCCAAAGAAACATGTTAAGGACTCTTTATGTTATTCAAAAACAGAATGGTTTCATATGAATATAGCTCAGTTTGCTTAAAGATTATAGATAGCAACTTGTCTAAACTGTTATCTGTAATCAAATATGCGTGACTGTCAGTCGTTCAGTCATAGCCCACTCTTTGGGACCCTATGGACTGTTGCGACCCTGTGGACGGGAACCCGACAGGCTCCTTTGTCCATGGAATTCTCCAGGCAAGAATACTGCCAATCCCTTCTCCAGGACATCTTCCTGACCCAGGGGTTGAATCTGTGTGTACTGTTTTGACATGCAGACTCTTTATCACCTGAGCCACCAGGAAATCTTTCTTTACCCCAGAAATCACAATACTCCATTAAAAAGCAACAAAAAATTGTATTAAAAAAAAATCTGAAAGCAAGTCAATATTTGTTTCCAGTAGATGGCACTGCAAATCAAGTCTTTCTGGGTTTATTAACTATTATTTCTTTGACCAGGATAATTATTTTGTATAGTGAGGTCCACTAAAGCAACTTATACAGTGAAATTTTCAGTTTCACTGGTTGAGCAGATGGGGTTGTGGTTACAATAAACCTGCATTGTTCAGCGTCCAAACGCTGATATTCCTTCTTTATTTAGCAGAGTTGGGATTTATTAAAGTGGTAGATGCATAGAATAAAAGCTGTCTACTTGCTTTCACATGAAACTTACTTTTTGATGTGGGATTTTTGTTGCCTGCTTTAATTTGTTTAGTCTATGTTACGTTATGAGTCCAAGGGGACATTTTATACTTCTGCACAGTGTCTGATTCAATCTCACTAAGGCTAGTTAACTTGCAGAGGCAAAACTGAGCATGACCATAAACCACATCCCTGACGTGCTAGTTTTTTGGTGTGTGTGTGTGTACGGGGCAATAAATATCCTCAGTTATAGAGAATGCAAATAATTCCACAAAACTCCAGCTCTGCCACAAAAAAAAGTGACACATGGAAATGTTCCAGTGACCGTGGATCAGAGTCCAGTTTTGTATGTAAAAAAAATATGCTTAAAACGTATTTAAAAGCCATTTATAAGAGACATTACACATAATAGAGACTAGAACACAGTACATACTATCACGTATGTAAAGACTCCAGAAGAGCGACTAGTGTAAAACAGATGCTAAATAAGTCCTCCCTCATCTTTCTCCTTTAATGGAGCAGAAGAGGGAAAGGTCAGGCCCTGCTCTGGGTGAGATCTCTGTCATTTTGCCTCTTTGGACTCTGACTTCCCCACCTCTCAAAAGGACTAGGAGCCAGGCTGCTCAGTTCAGTTCAGTTCAGTCGCTCAGTTGTGTCCGACTCTTTGAGACCCCATGAATCGCAGCATGCCAGGCCTCCCTGTCCATCACCAACTCCTGGAGTGGCTGCTAGATCTAGAATATTCTGCCTCATGTAAAACAAGACTTACAAGCAGAGTACATAATACTAGGCAGACCATACAGGTAGCCTCAGAAGTTGGATGTGACTTTCATCACAGTGTTTGTCTTTCTCAGTGAGAAAAAGCCATCGGTCAAAACTGGCACTTTTCGCAGCGAAACCATCTCTGCTCTTTAAATCAATGTCCTAGGGGAGTTCAGACATCACTAATTTTTTTAATATACCCTCTGTATTCGCTGTTATTTTTTCTCTGGTCAAGGAAGCCTGAAACTTCTTCAAGATATACAGGAACAGTACAGTGAGTTTCTAGAATTTTTAGAACTGGATGAGTAAGTGCTCTGATAGGTGATACCTTCGTGGAGATATCCTCTGATAGGTGCTATCTTTGTGGAATATCGTATTCATCACTACGCTCACTTCCCCATTTAAACAATGAGCTCCATCACCCAGACTTTTCCCAGTGACTCTTGGGTACCTCAGCCCAGACACTTCTGGCAGGGTGGGGGAGCCATACAGTAATTACAAAGACAAAACAACGATCTGAACAAGGCAGAAATATGACTCAAACAACATTTTGCTGCTGGCTAGGAGGGCAAAAATGGCCCTTCCCCTGCAGATCTGCTCATTACTTTTTTCCTCTTTGTGACCTCAGAATTTACACCTTGGCTATTTCTAGTCTGCAGAGATGGTGTTAGGATATTATAAAAAGCAAATTGTGGCTTTGGGTGGGGTAGATGGATAAGCACTTTTTAGAGTTTGAAAGGACCCAACAGAACATCTAGTCCAATCCCCTCCCTTTATCCTTGAGAAAAGATGGCTCAGAGAGGTCATTTGAACTTACACAGGTCACGGAGAAAATTAGTGGTGAAGCATTGATTAGGTCATTTTATTCTCATCCCAGAAGCTAGGCGCTTGAACAGGGATAGAGGTGAAGGGTGAAAAATAAGGGAGCGAGTGTCTTCAGATTTCACTCTCAGTGACCTTAAGAGACTGATGGAAGAACACAGTCTCAACCCAGCTAAGAGACATGTTTAGATCTCAAGCCTCTGGGAAAAATAAGATGGCATACACTCTTCATATATTTGTTTATTTTATATTTTAATCTTTTTTATTTTTATTTTGAAATTGAAGGATAATTGCTTTACAGAATTTTGTCGTTTTCTGTCAAACCTCAACATGAATCACAAATATTTGTTTATTTTGAGAGGTTTTGGGGGGACACTTTTCCACCCTTCTACTTTTATGTTAAGCTACTTTGTCTAATATCTCAGAGATTCTCTTTGTTAAGGAAGCAAAATGGTTCATTTTCTTTAGGGCATTTCCTTATACAATGATGTCAACATGGAGTAATTATGAGCCAATTGACCAATATTTTTCTTAGTGTGAAGATCAGTGTGACAAAGTTTAATCATATGCCTTTAGAATAAATAAGATTAATATGTATATAATTTTTGACTCGTCTGCAATATATTTTTGTGAAGTCATACTTAGAAATGCCCATAATATGAGAAACTTTTCAACTGTTGTTTTCAATCCTAAATATTTTCCAAATAGCAAATCTAATTTTAATATTTTATATATTGTAGCCTCATCTGTAGGAAAGAATTCCAAAGTCCTTAGAAGGCATAACTTAGATGTGTAAGTGCATTTTGAAAGTGATATAATTCATGGTTTAACCATTGTTTAGACATGAAATAAGTTATAGTCAGCTGGTGTGAGCAAAAACTTATTTTTGCCAAGATTTTTAGAAAATGTTAACAATTTATAGAGAGACCTCATGGTGTTTATCATGAGATTTACATGGTTGAATTTCCTGACTTGGAATGTATTAATATTATGTCTTCTTTACTCTGAAACAGTCCCAGGCTTTATCTTTGGCTGACTCTGCTGGTCCCACTCCCACTTCATCTTTAATAGATTTAGGGTGGATTCTACCCCTGGATACTCACATCCCTAAAGTATCTGCTTCTGAAATAAAAATGAAAGTGGGAAGGTATTGGAATGGGATGAAGGGGCCCTTTAATAAAGGCAAGGAATCTTGGAGCCAATTTCTTTTGTCTCAAAGGTGTCCTTGCACAGAGGAGAATGGAGGCAGGATACAGAATAAAAAGCCAAGGAACGTTCAAGAAGTCACGTGGGAAAAGCAATAGGAAAGCCAACGTTGGAGAAATTTCACCCTGGACAACGCTGAGAAGATTCTTGGAGGTACCAAGGTGACGACCATTGTGTATTGTGGCTTCATGATTTTATGGCTTAATCGCGGTGAGTACAAAAAAATCAAACTCCTCCACACTGCTCTCCAGACCCACTGGCAAAGTTATGCAAGAGTATGAGTTCCAAAAATATAAAAAGACTCCATTACTTTGGAGGAACTATAGGATAACGTAGACAGTTCACTGAGTTAAGGATTAGGTGTGTTTTTTTTTGGCAATTGTTTTTTATTTTGATGAAATAACGTTCCGTGCATAATAATGACTTAAAACTAGTAAACAAACCCAGAGCCGGCGCAATGGCTGCTGCAGCTCACGTCTCTGCTCTAGGAGACGAAAAGTGCATCCTCTTTGTAAACTGGAGTCGCCCGGAAGTGCTGGGGGGCCAGGCGAGAGCAGCCATCATCTGCCCGCTCCCCGGCCCGGGCCCCACCGCTGGGTTTGAGACCCTCGAGGAAGGGGCGCTGCCGCGGGCGCCCATCAGGGCCGCGGGCGCCTCGGAGGGCGCAGCACGGGGCGGGGGGAGCCGGACGGGCTGGAGGAGGGGAGCTGGCCTCAGAGCTCTCTGCGGCGGATGTTCTGCGGTTCCGCGGCGGGCAGGTGATCCTGCGAGGGGAACGGTGGGTCTCCCCTCGCTGTAAGTCCACTTGGGGCAGGACCTTTCCCCCGCCCCGCCCCTTCTGGGCCAAACTGTGTGTTGAAGGCTCAAGCAGTCGAGACCCCGGGGTAAAGCCAAGGAGGCCGTCTGGAGTCCTCCCTCAGGATTCCTCGGAACCGCTGTGCACCCGCGGTCTCATTTAGGAGCCATCTCAGCGCGCCGAGGGAGGCGGTTTTGGGGTGCAGGCGGCCGGTTGGGTTGGAGATGCTCCACCTTCGGTGACCTTCAGGTGAAAAGAGGTCGGATGTCCCAAAGAGGTGGGGACCTGGAAGCTGGTCTGGGAAGAAGACTCCTGCTGGAGTATGACCTGGGAGTCGCATGCCCTTCCTTTTTTGAGCCTCAGGGGCACTCAGAAGGCGTGACAAGACGAAGGCTCCCCGCGGGAGCTCTCATAGAGCGCTCACCAAGACGTGAGCCACTTGCCCAGACTGCAAGCGCGAGGGCTCCCGCCGCCGCGGAAGTCCCCCAGGATCTCCGAGCTCCACCCACCGTTTCGGTGCCGGGGCACTCGCGACCGCGAGGCTTGGCCGGAGCAGTTTCCGGGCACATCCCTCCAGTGGTTCTTCTACACCAGCTCGGGTCCCGCCGTCGGGGAGAGGAACCAGCGGTCAAGACCCCTGCCGGTCCCGCGCGCGCTCAAACTCTTCCTCTCTGCATCCCTAGGCCTTGCCCTAGTCCGTCGCCCTTGGGAGCACCCACTTATTCTTCGGGGACCTCACGTGCCTGGGCACAGGGGTCCTCGAGGACTCGCCGGGGTGACCGCGCGTGGGAGGGCGGGCGGAGCTGGGAACGCGCAGCAGTGGCGGGATATGAGAGCCTCCCGACCCCTGGGCCAGGGGAGGGACGCGGAGAGAAAGGTCCGTAGGAAGGAGATGGACACAGAACTGGGAGACTCTTGAGGGGAGGGGAGGGATTTATCCCTTGTGGTAACAGAGCCAAAATCCTGCCAGAAGTGCTGGTTCTCCATTTCCCGTGGACATAGATTCTAGCCTCCAGCAAGATCTCCTCGCTCCTCAGTACAGCAAAGCCCACCTTCGGAAGTTCTCGGTCTGACCCACTCGGGCGTCGCCAGCATTTCCGCATTGGGACATTCCTTTCCGTCTCTGCCCAGCCATCGCTCCGGCCAGGGAGATCCTCTTTGTCGTCCCCCACCCCCCAACACCTATGCCCCAGGCAGAATGCCCGCGGACCCGCACACGCACGGAAACCCTGCCCGGCGCAGGTCTGCTGTACCTCTTGTTCACTCCCTCGGTCGCCGAGGGCCACGTTTTCCTCGGGCAGGATTCTTTTCCCACCCTCCAAGAGCCTGCCCAGGCCAGGTGCCCTTTGAGGTCCCCCAGACCTGGGCATTGCCCCCCGGAGACGCCGTGGCGGCCCTCATTACCTGCGTCCTGCGGATCTCAGGGGCAAGGCTGGTCCAAACAGCCCTGATTGAATTTCCGACTCCTCTGGGCACGTTTCCCAGGAAAAACCTTCCTCCGGCCCCTTCCCGCCACCCCTAAGACCTCAGAAAATATTTGAATCTCCATAGAAAAGGCACAATTTAAGAGCCGGGTGGGGCGCAGTGGGCGGGGCCCGGGGCTCGGAGCGGATGGAATTTCTTTCCGCTGGCTACCAGCCTTCCGCGGATAAAGCGCAAGTTTGTGCATTTAGTCCACGGGGGGATTGTAAACCGACGGAACCGAAAGTGTCTAGTGAGTTGCGGAGTTTGCCCAGATTTCCCTGCAGATGGGTTTGCGAAAGCGCCTGTGATGGGAACTTTCTGCAGATCGTGTATGGAGGGAGCTAAAGGAAAAAAGCGAGGGGAGTGGGACGGGGAGGGGGCAGTGGCAGCGTGGAGTGTGTGTGTGTGAGTGTGTGTGTGTGGGGGGGGGGTGGCGATGTGCCCAGGCGCGGGGGTGTCCCAGCGGGGTAGGGGAAAGGGTGCAACGTCCCGCCGGCTAATTGGCTTAAGACGTGCTGCAAGCGCTTGGAAAAGGTCGTTGAAGGAGTTCGCTGCGCACACACACAAAATAATAATCTTAAAAAAGAGTGCCGGGCATGCGCACAGAGAGGATGCCATATTGGAATGAGGCTGTAGTGGGAGTCCGAGCCGCGGAGCGGGCGCGCGAGGGAGGCGGCGGGCGGGGAGCGAGCGAGGCTCAGCGAGCGGGTGAGGCCGGCGTCCCCCGCCTCGGCGGCGCCCGAGCCTCTGTCCACGCCGCGGGGAGCAGGAACTTCACCAGGTAGGACCCCGCGCTGGCCGCTGTCCCCGCGCCCAGCCCGCCCCGCGAGGGGACCTCCGGCCCGCAGGTTGAGTGCGGCCGTCAGCTTCTCTTTCCAGCTCCGAGAAAAAGGGAAGCTGGATTGGGCTAGGGGTGGGGGGGCCGAAGGAGGGGGTGCAGTGGGAGAGAAGCGAAAGGGAAGGGCTGGAGGAGAAGGCGACAGCTCTGGAGCAGAGCCGCAAACTCCGCGCTGTGCTCCGCGTTGTCATTATTGCTCCCCCCCCGCCCCCGTCCCCTTCCTCCAGGTCCCTCGGCTTCGCAAAGCCCGGCCTCACGGGAGTCTGTCCGTAGTTGGAAAGCGTACTCCTCCCAGGGTGCAGTGTCCCCTCCCGCCGCCCACCTTCCTCATTTGTGCGCTCATTTTGGCGACGCAGCCGCCCTTGTTACCCCGCGCTGGGGTCTCTTTCTTCCCTTTTTTTTTAGATGGTGTGTGTGTGTTCGGGGTGGCGGAGTGGTGGTGGCTGGGCGAGATGGTGGGGTGAGGACTGGAGAGCAGCCATCAAAAGGAATAAGAATCGTGGACATATTCGGAATCGACCCCCGCCCCCCGCCCCGAAACATTTGCCTGTGCAGCTGAAATGAAATTGTCAGTAGTAGTTTCGGAGCGTGCTCCGGCATGGATGATCTTTTTGTTCTTTTTTTCTTTCTTTTTTCTTTCTCGTTAAAGTCACATCCTGTCCCTTGGGGCTTTCCTGTTGTCTACTCTCATATAACCTCCTTTCACAATTACTAATCTGATTTGGCTTTGGAGTTTATTATTTTCTAAAAAATGTGTGTGTTAGCAAAATCCGCAAAAACAAAAACAATAACAACCAAAAAACTGCTGTAGGAACTGCTAGATATATTTGTGGATTTTTGATCCGGAGCGGCGGGAGACGATTAGCCGGAGAAGGGGAGCCTTAGCGGAGGGAAGTGGTTGATTTGTGGTGGCCAGACGCGCGCCCAGAGCCCGCTCCGTTCTCGTGTTTTCTTGGAAGCCGCGGCGGAGGAGTATTTAGAAGCCTTGCCAGTTTCAATATGGCGGGCTAAGGTGGCTTTTAAAAACTGAAAATAAAGGTTTTGAGGTGGGAAAAAACCCAACCGGAGTTGCCATCTCTTAGTTTCACCTCTCTTTGGCTACTCTAGTAGCTGCTTTAGCGAATTAAAGGGGAAAAAAGAGAAGGAATGGGCTGCCCTAGTTTTTTCCGTGGTTACAATCTGCGTGTGTCCAGTCCATTGCTAAAGCGGAGAGGGTGCCGCTGGCCCGGACCGGGGCATCGGAGCAGGACTGCTCTCCGTGCCTTTAAATCAGTGGGCATACCTGTGTGTGCACTTGGGTGAGAGTGTCCAAGAGATCCGCCCCAGATTCGTGTGTGCGTCTCCGAACCAGACCCTGCCCTGATTTGACGTGACAAACTGCTGACACGTGGTGCAAAATGCAGGAGGGCAGAGGGAGTGATTTATTTCAGCTTTCTAGGAGACCAGTTCTCTTTCTGTCTCTGTACGCAGGATCCTGTGTGGGTAAAGCCGGGTAGGTGCAGCGGTGTGCCGCTTATTTAACGGACTCAGTATCCAGGGTTTCGGGGGCAATCAGGCTGCAGACGCCGGTGGGGTTGTGTATGTGTGTGTGCAGGGGCGCGCTGTACTTACTGGAGGGCAGCGTGTAGTTTGCGCCGCGGCGGGGTAGAAAGTGGGAGTGGGGGGCGGCGGCGTCCGGGGCGTGGTGGGTGGGGTGGAGGCGGGGGTGTGTGAAAGTACGTTGGCGGAAGGGCGGGGGCGCACGGCCCTGGCTGCAGAGCGTGGGGTGGAGCGGCGGAGTTGCTTTCGGAGTTGCGCTCTAGGGAAGGTGGGGGATGGGGAGAGCGTTCGCGGGAGAAAGTGCCCCTCGCCCTTGTTGGATAGGCGAGCCTTCCAGGCGATCGACCGGGGAAGTCGCCTTGGGGTTGAAGAGGGCGGCGAGGTGCCGGGGAGAGGCCGACTTCGAGGTCCTCGGAGGGTCAGAGAGTTTGAGGGCAGAGTCGGAGCTTGTAAGTGGAGCCCGAGGGTAAGCGAGCAAACGGAGTTTGCTTAGCTGGAAGCGGTTCCCGACAGGGGTCGCCAGTGGCCAGGATGCAGCCGCGGAGAGGTGGTCACGCAGCGCAGCCAGCAGGGTGGCCCGGGGGGATGGGGGCCACACGGCAGCCGCGCGCCGTCCCCGGGGCCAGGCTAGGGCAGGTCCGGGGAACTTTGCCTGGGCCCGAGAACCTGATGGCGCGTCTGCCTAGTGTGCCAAGAAGATTTTAAGTCTCAGGATTAAAAAGCGCTGGCTAGGTCTGCAGTTACCACAGTGACGTGGGCTCTGGGCATTCTCAGGGGCTTGGAGAAAGGATCGAGGGGGTCAACTGTCCTATTTGGACGGCCCCCGCGCCATCGCACAGTCTGCCCCTTGCGGCGCCCCCCTGGGTAGGGCCTGGGGGCAAGCATCCCCCAAATTGGGTACCTCGCGGCAGATTTTCCCTCCTACTGGGCAGTGAGGCTGACCCTCAGGCCTAGAGGCGTTTTGCACCCGCGACCCCCCAGCTGAGCGCACGGCGTGGCGCGTCCCCGGCGCTCCGGTCCCAGGCGTCCCCTCGGCGACTGCTTCCTCTTGGGCTTCGTTCAAGGGGAAACCAGCCTAAAATGGCTCAGTGCTTGTAAACTGCAGTTTCAGCCGGGAACCCCTCCCCTCGTCCTCCTGACGTCGCTGCTGACAAGCGCACAATCCTCTCCAACGCCCCGAAACCTGCGATTTTGTACGGGCTGTGCGGTGGAAGCCAGCATACAACCGATTACAAAGAACATTCCCCAGGATTCTCGCAGGGCCCAAGTTTCCCTTCTTGTGGGGAGGAGAGGGCAGAATGGAGACGAGGTAGGAGCACCGCCGACCCCCGTTCTGGAACCTGGACTGGGGACTGTTGCGCGTGAAAAACCCGGGAGGTTCCCCGGGGCCGCGGAGGGCGACCTTGCGGAGCGATGGCCACTCACTGGGGCGCTCATCCTTGACTGCGTCCATGGCGTCCGGACGCCGGGAGCCTGGGAGGCCGTTTCCAAACTTGTGGAGACCGGCTTGCAGTTTCGCTTTCGGAATTTTCGGGATCTTTGTGTTTAGAGAGTTGGGTGGGATTCCGGGAAGAGCAGGACGCCCGGGGCTGGCCGAGCGGGTCCTCGTTTCTTTGAGCGCAGGAGTGAGGTTGCTCACCCACCCTGGTGTCCCGTGTTGCCTCCCTGGACCCCGGGCTCCGGATCCTCCAGGGTCCGGGACTCCAGGCCCTGCGCTCGCCCCTTGGCTCCGGAGAGTTCCGTCCCCGCGCAACGTTTTGTCGGCTCCAGCGCCGCATTGTCAGCGGATCCGAACCCACCAGTGGGAAACTATCTCGGATGCCCGCAGACCGTGTCCGAATCCAGACCCATCGCCGCCGCCTTCTACCTTCCCTCACCCCTCCACCCTCGCACCCTTGCCGAGGGACCCGGGGGACCGATTGGCATGTCTGCACCAAGCAAATGGACCCAGCTTTCACCAGAGGAGAGAGAAAGCGAAAGCCGGCACAAATTCGGCCCCATTTCCTGGGGAGGCGGTTGGGGGTGGGGTGGGGGCCTGTAGAGGAGGGGAGCGGAGAGGCCCCGGTAGGCACAAGGAATTGCTGGCTAGGCGCTCCTAGGAGGTAGGAGGTTTGCTACTTTTTCCCTGCAAAGCGTTACATTTGCATACACTCTGCTTCCTCCCTTCAATGAATAGGCACTGTTACAGATGTTGGTCTTAGCTCATTGCTGGGACGCAGCGGCTGCCTGGAAGGTGGGGGGCATGGACAATACACCCACAGGCGCCAGAAACCCTCCGGTCCCCTACTCAAGCGCAGGAGACACTCCCTGGCCAGTTGAAACCGCAGCCCAGTGGCAGGGCTTTTCAGCAACGCTTAGGCTGGAGAACTCCACCAGTCAGTCTAGAAGTGCTGGCAGAGACCTGCAGGGGTGCCAAGAGTATTTCCCCTTTCCCATTGGGTTACCCACACCCTGAACCTCAAACAGGCCATACTGATGGTACCCTGAATTTCTCTAGTGATGGGAGTAATTGATCACAGAGGGCTTTCC